GGTGTTTTCAAAATGCTAGGTGACTGGTGACAATAATTATCAGTGGTTTGAGGAGAATCCTTTTTGTGGGGAGTGGGGAGACAGGGCCCCACCTAGCCCAGGCCAGCCTTGAATTTCCAATCCTCCCTGCCATTACAGGCACGCACCTGGCTCACACTGGCGGTACAGGGGGTGCTTCTGTGCTGGTTTTTAAGCTTTCCTGCATATGAACACAGTCAGGCACTACCACCTTAAGATGTCTCTGATGAAGTTCTCAGAGTTTACTTTTGGAAGGTCCTTCGGACACTGATAGAGACTCTCTTCTCACACTAACGTCAACCTCTCCCATGACTTTTCTGACCAAATCACACATTAAATACCCCTGTCTTTGAGGAATTCAGATTGGTCAAGATGGACAATCCTGCAAATCATATTAGAGAAAATCCCCTGAACATGGTATTTTATTGCCCTGTTTGCCTTCAGCAAAGACTCTAAAGGTAAGGAGCACCCATACCCTGATATTTTCTCTCCACTGACAACAAATCCCTGTATTTCCTGGTTGAAGTCAGAACTGACCTCAATAAATTGCTCTTCCTAGGACAAGACTTCACCGTAGCTGCAGTCTCGGCACCTGTACAGTCCCTCTTGAACAGAATTGCTCTACTGTATTAAAGAAGCATTATGGAGAAAGAGGTGGAGCTCAGAAGCCAGAGAGCTGGCTTACTACGTACAAGGTCCTGGATGAAAAAACTTCTAAGGTAAAAGCATCACGGATAGGCCTTCTTCTTTAACATTCATTACACTGTTAAGGTAGATGACAGGAACATACAAATCAAATTTAGGTAACTAGAAAGTCCACAGGAAGCACTAGAGATAAAACCAATCCTTTAGCATATTCTCAACTCTCATTGGGGAGCTGTCAGAGGATAACTGGCCCCTCTGTCTTGTTACTGAAATATATTACTAAGTCGCTGAGCAACAACCGTCTCAAAGTTGAAGGACTGCTATCACCAACTCTTTTAGATAAAAACCTCAGAAACAATTCCAGGGGAAAGAAGCAATGCCAATCGTGTTGTGGTGTACAAAGTTAGATATGTTCTTCAACACAGACTAAGCCACAGAGGCCACAAATCCAGAATGGTGAGGATAAAGACTATGTCCCAGCTCAAATAAACAGACATAAAAATTGCAGAGAAAAATCTTTAAAATAAATCTGACTATAAAAATAAACCAACCCAAAAAATTAAAATAGAACTAAGGAAATCTATCTACTTTAATCCCTAAAAATTTAAGACCTGAGCATCACCGTAGCATGCAACCACATCTCCAAATGAAGGGCCTCTGGTTTGGGGCTCCTTTCCTACCCCAGGGGAACCTAAATGCCTTTCTTAGGTATTCTAAGAACAATGTTCCATTTAATGGCCAAGTGTACATCTGTTCAAGGCCTAGCTTCCAGCCTGATGCTTGTGGGCATCTCAATAGCCAGCTTCAAACTGACTGCAACAAGACACAAAAAGAAGGTTCTTATTGCAAAAAACTTTTATTTGCATTTGGATTTTGAAAAAAGAGATGAGAGTGGGAGAAGGAAGCACACACAGGTCACATCCCTGAAAGGCTCTTGAGCTGAACTGCTTCTGAGTGTGTGTGTGTGGGGGGGGGGGGGGTGGAGATAGCGGTGGGGTGGTAAAGAGCTTGCTGAGTCACAGAGTGGAGACAGGCAGTCAAATGTCCCAGTGGCTGTCACTGTCAGCATGACCATCTACTAGGAAATTCAGGTGTTTTGTGGAAAATTAGCTGAACAAAGTAAGAAAATTAGTAAGAGGCCACAAAACAGCCTGTTTTAATAAAACACTGACTACAATCAGAAGTAGAAGCAGATGGACTGAGGGAAGCCACGTCCTATTTGGAAACAAGATACCGAAAGAACTTGCCCCACGTGTGAGCTCAAATTTCCCCACCTGTAAAGTGGTCTTAATGCTTTCTGATTTTAAAAAGCTTAAGCCATTGGTTAAAAGGCCTTTTGTGTTAGACATTAAAGCAACTAATTTATAAAAGAAAATTTTTTTTTCGTTTATAGTAATTTGTAAGAGGCTCTACAAAGAAAAAGCTCACTTAAGTTTGATTAAGCATGTTAGATCTGAGTTGGCCTCAAATAACTTTTACTGAGTTGTAGGAAACTTACTTTTCACTGGGGATGCAGTGTGGAAGGAGGTTGTTTAGAGGGAGGGACAGAGGGAATTAAGAAAGGAGCAAGGTGAAACAAAGGAAAATGTTTTGACTCTGGGACTAGTTCCTCCAGGAATGTTACCCTGCCAAGCTGCAGGACAGTTTTTAAAGACCTGGAGCACATCTTGTTCAACTCCAACACAGAGCAGGTAACGCTCGCTGACAGATGTTTCTTGACATTAAGTCACAGGCTTCGAGCTCACCCCTGGAAAAGCTGCTCAAAAGTTCTAGGAAAGGACGGCCACACCAGGAAATGCACTCTGCCCTTTTCCTTCTTTCTAATCACCGCACTCTGCTCATTATCCCCTCTCTCCACTGATCTGGCTGAGTTTCTAAACAAACTCCATTAAAGCACAATACTAAAGAAAGAAGCAGAAGGCAGACACTCCTGGACTTGGAAGGCAGTGTTGGGGAAATATCAAAAGTTGTCCCTTCTGAATAGCATGCAGCTCTCCTCAGGATCAAGCTGATGCTTCTCAAAGACAGGGTAGTGTCTACTCCTAAATTAGTTGTTGACAGTTCTCTGGATCATTTAACACCTCACTAGCAAGTCTTTTGCTGGATTAATTCAAACAGGTCAAGCCTAATTTTAATTAAACTTCAACCTACCTACTCAAGTCTCTTTTACACTAGTAAGAGATTTATCTAGGTTCTTTAGAAACTAAATGCAGACAGTAGTGTTTTCTTTCTGTATGTAAAGTGACTTCTGTAAATCATTATAAAAGCTTCTTGTTACATGCACTTTTGGAGTTTATCTCTGACTTGGTCATACTGGTAGCATTCAACTACACAAGCAATGTACTGTATAGGAAGCACTAAATTATTTTACATTCAAGTGCAGTTCTGGAAAAAAAATTTTAAATCTTAGTTGAGTTTTCTAAATATTTTACTTTAATAAAAAGATATTGGAGCTAAAATCCACCACAGAATATGGTCAGTGATGCATGAAGGACAAGCTAGCTTTCCAAGTGTCTGGTGGACTTTTCGGAACTTCCTAGGCTCTCACTTTTTTCACCCACCAGCCTGTTATAACTTGAATTTTTGAATGACACTTTTACAATATACACTCTTCCCACTTGTGCAAGCACTGGGGTCAACAGGTCTTAGTGTGGCATTTCCTTTGAATGTAAAGACTGCTTTTGCACTGAGGCTCCTGCATCTTCATGGGAATTTCTACATGCCACAAGGTATGCTGAAGGACAGGTATCAAGTCTTCTGAGGAAGGGCCGAGATATGACGCTATTGCTCTCCACAGCCTCCTCCTCCTCCTCAGACTAATGCCCAGCTGACATCAACTCTGGTGCTGTAAAAGGAAGGCTCAGGACAGTAGGCTTAGAGTCAACTGAATCACTTAAAAGTTTCGTTACCACAGCAAGCACGGCAAGCCTTGCAATGGTCAGTGAAGAGGCTGACAGAGGATCCCTGTCCCCATTCAGCTCAGGTCTTTCTAGCACCGGAACCTTCTAAGCTGGTCCCAGATACTGTGGAGCACAATTAATAAACTTTTTTCTTGAAGAGGCAAATTCATAAAACTGAAGATGACAACAATATTTCCAAAAGTCTCTCCATAGAGATAACAGGATCACTGACAGATGGGAACAAATATAAAATCAGTTTTGACTTTAGAAAAGTCTTAGTCAAAACCAGCTCTCCTACTTAACTGTTTCCAATGCAGGCTGTAGCCCATCTATAGTACCATGTATTAGAGTGGAGAAACCACGGCTGAGGATGTGAAATCTGCCAGAGCCACGATGCCTCGGAAGCAGCAAGAGAGCAAGTTAAATTAAGTTGCTGTCAATCTGCTAGTAGAAAAACATTTTTACTTTGTTTTTGTTTATGAGCTAGGCCTCAAAATATATAGCTGAGGACGACCTTAGACGATTAATTTTCTTGTCTCCACCTCCCAAGTGCCAGAATTACAGACTTGTGTCACGTGTCCCACCCCTGAAAAGACCTTTAAAAGTAAAACCAGCAAAATCAAATTACCCTCCTTTCACAGTAACTGGTCAACACTGCCCTCTGGTGATACAAATGAATAAACCAGGCAACATCTTTTATTGTTCATTTCAAATACATTTAAGTAACCGCAGCTCTTCTGAATGCACATCTCATTTGAAAAGTTTTTTTTTAATTTATTTGTTATGCATACAATGTGCTGTTGGCATACATGCCTACATATCAGAAGAGGGAACCAGATCTCATTACAGATGGTTGTGAACCACCATGTAGTTGCTGGAAATTGAACTCAGATCCTCTGGAAGAGCAGCCAGTGCTCTTAACCTCTAGCCCCCTTAAAAAGGTTTTAAATCAAGGACGTTTACTCTGGAAATATGCTACTGATGATATACACATTACTATGTAGTGATTACATTTTCAAATAAAAAGATGTGATTAAGAAAGACCCTGAAGGCAAATGCCCTAAATTAAAAGCACTGTAGGACAGCAAGAAAACGTCTCATCACATGTAAATCAGGCATGGCAGTGGGGGTGCACACCTCTAACCCCAGCACTTGGGAGGCAGAGGCTGTGAATTCAAGGCAGCCTGGTCTACACAGAGTTCCAAGACAGCCAGAGCTACAAAGAGAGACCCTGTCTCAAAATAAACAAACAAACAAAAATTCCACAGGAGGGAGCCAGTAGAGTTCTCAAGGAGTGTGTCTTTAACACACTTGAAAGTGTCTATGGAAACCAAAGCCTAACAGTGGACCCATTGGAAGCCTGACTCCTTATTTAGAAAAAAATCTCAACCAAAAAGCATAGTTGGCTGCTAAGTTCTTACTAAGTCAAAGACGTACCAAGGCTGGTGCCATCCTGCCCCATAATACACTTCATAGAGGTGATGATCTGCTCCATCACAGGTGGTGACATCGACGTGGCATACACAGCACTGTGAGAATGTGTACGCAGGTAGTCTATCAGTGCCTGTGGAAGCAGAGGCGGATATTTAGAGTCAGGTCCTGAGCACACAGTTATGCAAGTACCTTCCTTCTAGGTGCTACTGGACTCTTTCATTCAAAAGCCTGCAACAGGGCGCTAAACAGAGACTCAAGGTCAACTAACACCATCAAAGCTCACAACTGGCCAACAAAGATGTCAGAAACAGCAAAGTCTTGGGTTTTGGTTTTCAAATTCATTTTTAAAGGATCACTCTAAATTCAAAAAACATTTAATGTTATGAATTAAGAGTGCTGAATTGCTTTTTGAGGTAAAATAATTTACTTCTAAGTGTCATCTGTATCTCATCCTATACATTTACCGTCCATCTTTATATTCCTAAATAACAATTTTCCTGGGCTGGGAGTGTATCATTCAGTGGTGTGGAAACACCAGGCAGGTGTGAGGTGGTTCCTCAGTTTGATCACGCCCCTCCCAATATTCTTTGGAAGGAGATTCACAAATTGATACATAAATTGGCAGAACTTCATTATGTCTTTCATTAGAATATTATCACTGAGTAAAATATCTTTTAATCATCCCCATCAGGATAATTTAAAAAAAAAAAAACACAACTGATTTTATATCAGTTTCGATTGCGTTCCTGTACCTTTTACTATCATTTAAGCCTTTAATTAAGGCTTATTTTATGTATATGAGGTTTTTGCCTGCACATGTGTATGTGTACCAAGTATGTGTGAGAAGCTTACACATTCTGGAATTGGAATTAAAGATGGCTGGAAACCAATTATGTGGGTGCTGGGAACTGAACCCAGATCCTCTCCAGGTACAACAGGTACTCTCAGCTGTTTTATTTTGTTTTGTTTTTCCAAGACACTTTCTCTGTGTAGCTCTGACTGTCCTGGAAATCAATCTGTAAAACAGGTTGGCCTCAAACTCAAGAGATCTGTCTGCTTCTGCCTCCTAAGTGCTGGGATTAAAGTCATGCACCTCTACCGCCCAGATTAAATCTTTAAAAATAAAATATGCACAAGAATCTGTTGTGTGATGGCACATGCCTATCACCTTAATCTCTGGACGGTGAGGCAGGAGGATTGCAAGTCTAAGGCTAGTCTGGGCTACAAAGCGAGACAATGTCCTAAGTAAAGAGGGGTGATCAGTAGCATATATACTAAAACCAAATAAACAGTAAAATAGTCTTGTTGCTTCTAAAACTCTCAAAATTGTACCTCAAAGCACAAATATGTCGATTCTTAATTATACCCTATATGATTTATTAGCCTTTAATTCATAACAATATATCTTATTTACCAGTTAACTTCTAAAGTAAGTTTTGTCTCATTAACAAAAAGGTAAAATAATGACAGCTATCAAACCTGATTAGAAGCAACTGAAAATGGGTCTTTCTAAAGGCAATCAATGATCAGTGTCGTTATTTTGTCACCAGTGTCCAATCTGGAGCGAAGAGACATTTGTTTAAGTTATACAACACAGAGGTGTGTACAACTCTACCAGAATTTACCTGGACAATTCCAGGTGGTCAGACTGAGGCCAATGGCCAGTAAGAGTAGAAGTGTATTTTGTGAGGACTATGGATAATGGCTGCAGAAATACAACATGCACAATCCAAACTGAAGTGCTCACAAGTCTCATACAGTAAATGGCTTTTCTACACACACTTCAATTCACAGTAAGAGTGGCACAGACACCTAAACATAGAAGAGAGCACTGACACTGGACAGTGGCCCACACCTTTAATCCCAGCACTCAGGAGGCAGAGGCAGGCGGCTCTCTGAGACTTCTCTGTGAGAAGTCTACAGTGTGAGTTCCAGGGCTACAGAGAAAAACCCCGTCTTGAAGAAACAAAAACAAACAAATAAGATGGTCACACATTTTCCTGGCTTAAAGCCTTCCACAACTTCATGATCAGATCACCCTACAAAGTCTAACTAAGGTTCTGCTTCTGGGCTGACCTGACTCGTCTAATTCATTCTATCCACCCGTACTGAACAGTGTGACGCTATGGAAGAACAGAACCTGGCGTTAGGTCAGATTCCTCTCTACTGTGGGGCTTCCTATAACACCATCTTTCATGCAGATAGGTCCATAACTTCTGGGTCCATCACACTTATCAGAATTTCCAGTGTTTCCTCTGATCGCCTAACTCTGACGAACATAAAGCATACAAGTAAATGTGCCAGAACTTATGCAGCCCATAATTGAGAAAACTGTACTATGAAATTCTGGATGTAGGTGCTCCTGACAAGGTTTCATGAAGCTTTCTGAATTGAGTGAAACTTAATGGGATCATCAAGAGGGGAACTGGCTGATACCACATGCCTTCAAAATAAAGCATTTCTTACAGATAAACATGCTATTTTCAATGAATACACAGACTTCTTGCTTCCTGCTTGTTGGTTTGTGCCACTATTAGCACTATATATCCTTCCAAGGCATTTTGCTTATGACCTGGGGTGACACAAGGACCCTCAGATTCCTGGACTATGCTGCGCTGCTGTCTGAACCAAACCCCCAGGAGTCTCCATGTCCCTTCAAAAAATATTTAGCTTCTATCAGCATGAGTCTAGTGAACAACCAACAATCACAGAAACTTAATTAAACTAAATCTGTTTTCCTATGGATGCTTCTGTGGGTTGTTGGAGTTTTGTTACAAAACTTCAGGTTCCTCTAGCTACAATTTTATGTTAACTTTTTAAAAAGATTAATAAAAAATGTCCTTGCTTTTGTTACTGTTGTGAGTTAATGCTGAACATGTGTCTGTTGGGAGCAGAGGCAAATATAGTTCCCTCTCTTGTCAGGCAAGGTGGTATCCCTGGGCTTTCCCATTAGGGTAGGACAAGCTCTGGTTAAGGACAATAGCCACACTGCATTCACTGAGAATGACTGTTCTTTAAGGCTCCAGTTTAGTTTTAAGAAGACATTCAGAGCATTTATGAGCACTTACTAGCGTGATGCTTGGCATACATTTCTTAATGATATTACAACAAGTTTTTCTTTTCTTTCTGTCTGAGAGTCAAATTGAGGTCAGAACACATGCCAGGCCAGGTCTTTACTACTCAACTAGAGGCCTGACCCAAGTTCTTTTTTAAGTCATAGCTTTATGGAAATATAAGCCACATTCCACCAGAGTTACCTCTGTAAAGTGTACAATTCAATGGATTTTGGCATAGTCAGAGGGGTGCAGCCCTTATCATTACCTAATTTTAGAACATTTTCATAACCCAACAAGGCAACATCCTATCCATCAACAATTACTTTCCATTTCCCCATCTCCTTAACTAATGTACTAATCTACATTCTGTTTCCATACCTATTCTAGATAAACACACACACACACACAAAAGAAAAGAGAACCAACCTATCATACGGCCTTTTGAGACTGACTTGGGTTAACATGTCTACAAAATGCATCTGTGTGGCAGCATAGGCACATGTCCTTTTTAAGCCAGTATCACATTACAAATCCCCCCTCCATTTACTTTTACGGAAAGGAAACCAAAAAGTCGAAAATGCTTTCCCCTAGGTCTTACAAAGTAAAACACATTCAAATGCAGACAGTGTTCATGATTTTGTATGGCTTCTTAACTGCCTTAGAGCTCATACATAACTTTAAAGTTGAAAAATAGATGCTTTACAGTGTATTACAGCTAACAAAACCATCTCTTTTTGTTTGTGCATTCCGATCTTCCATTTTCGTTGGCTCCTGTGACTATCCTTTGAAAGTGTGAGCACAGCTCAAACCCAACAGAAGATTGTGGCAAACAGGAAGCACCACTGTGCGCTCTCTTACAAAAGAGTGTTCTATATCTCAGACCAGAATGTAGTTTAGAAAGAAGCTCCAATGAGCACACAACAAACAATGAACAGAACCAGCCTTCAGCCCAGCAAGCGAAATCAGAGTCACTCCCCAGGCTGAAGTAGGAAGTCCACCAGCACTAGAACATGAGCCACAGCCCATTTAGGAGCCCCATTGGACCCACCAACTAGACAGCTTCCAAATCAACAGCCTTTCTTGATCTCTAATCGACCATCTAAAGGCCTGCTTTACCTTCTTGCCTCCAATGTATCCTCCAGAAGCACCGAAGCTCTTTGTGAATGTTCCCATCATAACATCTACATCCTCGGGATCCAGGCCAAAGTAGTCTACCACACCTCGCCCTGAAGGCCCAAGGGCCCCAATGCTGTGTGCCTCATCCAGATACAAGTACGCCTTGTACTTCTTCTTGAGAGCAATCACTTCAGGAAGGCGAACAATAGACCCTTCCATGCTGGCAAAACAGGGTTAAAAAAACACAAACACTGAGACTTTTTAACTCTCAAAATTAGCAACTGGACACTTTATTTTTAATGCTTTGAGGTTATTGCTTTTCAAAATAAATCTGAAAATTCCACCTCTGGTTTAAAACTAAGTTATGCAGTATACTGACTTGGCAGGAAACAGGAGGTTGACTTCTCAAAAATAAGTGCCGCACTGTAACTGATTTTATTTCAAAACAGAAAGAATTAAAGCTACAGCAGATTATTTCTGTTTGCTTTTGTGGGACTAGGGATTAAAGCTGGGGCCTTGCATATGCTAAGAAAGCATTTTACCACTGGGCCACATCTCCCCCACATGTGTCTTCTAAAGCTTGCAATTACAAGCAACATTAGACTTTGTATTCATTGTACATGCCTTGAGTTCCTGCCCAGGGATTCCTTCAGTGGACTGTGGCCTAGGATATTTCTTTTTTTTTAAATCAAAGTTGTTTTTGGTCATGGTTTGTATCACAGCAATAGAAATCTAAGATAGATTGTCCAAATTAACAAAAGAAAAAAATCTTAAAACTAAAATACAGCCTGGTATGGGGGCATATGCCTGTAAATCCTAGCACCCAAGAGGCAGAGGCAGAAGCAGAATTAGGAGTTTAAGGTCAGTGTGAGCTACATGAGACCGTATCTCATAAAATAACAACAAGTAACATATTTTTAGTTATTTTGATGTGAGTTTTGTGGTGCTGGAGATTGAACCCAGGGTCTCACGAATGCTAGAGCACAACCACTGTGGGAAGATCTTGCCATGGACTCTGGGTGAGCTTCAACCAGACGGATCACCTGTCTCGGCTCTCTGAGTGCTGGAATTACAGGTATGTACCACCACTTCTGGCTTTGTCATTTGTCTTTGATAAATTAGAATCTTTTATGCATAAGCTTTTCATAAACAGTTGAAAAATAACTTTGATAGAAGAAGGATCTGAAAGCTGTGTACCATACAGACTTAAAGACCTTTGGGCTCAGTGCCTCCTGTTCCCAGGAATTTTTAACAAGTCATGAGCACTATCTCCTTAGTCTCCAGCGCAGGCTAGTCTAGTGAGTCCTTCAGCTGAGAGTGTACATGACCTTACAGGCCGAGGCCACAGGCAAGTGCAGTAGAGCAAGAGTACCTATATATGCCTTCCACCAGGATTAGGATTTTCTTCCAGGGCCTTCTTGTCCGAGGCTGACCATAAACAATGGCATCTTTCAAAAGCTTCTCCAAGCTTTGCATATCTATGGCACAAAGAGAGAATTCAGTACCCAAGTGTTTTTTTCTAACAGTATCAGAAAAATAAGAATATACATTTCTTATTTAGAAGTGTCTCAGACAGCAAAAGACATTAGCATAATTAGAGCTGAGCAGAAAAGATGTTAAGATATTGCTTCATTAACTGACATCTAAATGTGACAAATGTTCAAAGTAGAGAATTAGGTGTGTCAACTCGACTTCCTGACCGAGGAATCTGACCTGACCAATTGTAACCTCCTGGCCGACGACCTCGTGACTGGCTTGGACCATCTCATTGCAAAATCCCTTCCTGCCCTGGCCCTGCCCCCCATCCCAACCCAAATTCCTCACCCAGGGGCTATATAAGTTGCAACCATGACGCTAATAAATGGAGGCTTTGACAAGAGAATTTTGCTTGGCCTCGTTCCTCTCTCTTGCCCATGTCTTTTCAGACAGCGCCTCTCCGGGACCCTGGAATAACCGACCTGCCAGGCGGGTTACAACCCCTAGACTAACTGACCTGCCAGGGCGGTCTACAGATGGTTAGATAGAAAATCTCTGCCTTTGAATTAGCTTTTCTGTGTTTTTAAAATCAAACTTCATCTTTAAGTGATTCATTCAGAAATAAATGTATAAAGATAATATATGTTCCTTCTAAAAAGCAAACATGCACGGGCCCAGAGAGACGGCTCAAGGTTTTAAAGCACTTGTTGCTCTTGGAGAGGACCCATATTTGAGTCCTAGTATCCACAGGGTATTCATAACCACCCATACGTCTAGTTCCAGGGGATCCAATGCCCTCTTCTGACCTCTGTGAGCACCAAGCAAGCACGTACATGCAGGCGAAACACTCACACATAAAACAAAATAAATATATCTTTAAAAATAAAAAGTAAACATGGAGAACAAACTTCAAAGTGCATGATCTATTTTCTTTTACCCAAATGCATTCAATAGCTGCTTATTAAACAACTGGTTAAAAATATGCCAGTTTGGGACATGCATGAGTCTAAGCTTAAGTCAGCTTGGCACTCTGGTGTGGGAGGTCCTTCTGTATATGTGCTGCTTTTACTGGTTAATGAATAAAGAAGCTGTTTTGGGCCTACACAGGACAGAATAGAGCTAGACGGAGAAAAATAAGCTGAATGCTGGGAGGAAGAAGGTGGAGGCAGAGGGGAAAGGCTTCAGTTGCCAGGTGGAACCTTGCCGGTAGGCCACGAACCTCATAATAAAATATACAATAATGGAAATGGGTTAATTCTAGATGTAAGAGCTAGCTAGCATGCTTAAGTGATTGACCAAGCAGTGATTTAAATAATATAGTTTCTGAGTGATTATTTCAGGTCTGGGCAGCCGGGAACAAACAGGCAGCCTTCTACAAGAGCATTACTCAGCTGAGATCGTCCCACGTTCCCTCCGTCAGCTGTGTTGCTGAAAGACAGCGTATTTGGGGCTATCATTAGTAAGGACCATAGTTTTCCTCTCAAACGTCTCCATCTCTATAGACTTTATACTTAAAATATTTGTTTTGAATGACATTAAAAAAATTCTCCCTAAAATCTAAGCAACATTAAATGTGAGGAATATGTTATACAAGTGAGAGGCCCTACACTATAAACTTTCATTCTGTGTTCTTTACTGCTTATCACTGAAAGAAAGGGTCAAAATTGTATGACTTTGTCTTTCTTATAATTGAACTTTGATAGGAAAAGGAAATAGTGTGATAAAAACACACAGCAGGATGGGCAAAGGTCATGACTGTGCCACACCTTTCAGTATTTGCAGCACAGCAATCGGCGTACTGCTTGACAGCCCAGAGCAGGAGACAAGTGAGTGCGCTCACTGTAGCTGTTTCCTATGTTTATATACAGAAAGGAGACAGAAAGGAAACAGTGGTTCAACACTTTAGACAAAAGGAAGATCACAGGAAAAAGAAACTGAATGTGGCAGTGCATGGCTGTAATCCTAGCAAACTAGAGGCTGAAAAGGAGAATCCTTATAAAGTCAAAGACAATCTAGGATAGATGGTAAGTTCCAGGCTAGCCAGGGCTACATAATAAGACCCTGTCTCAAAAAGCAAGCAAGCAATAACAGTAGGAAAGGTCTTCTACAAACTTTAGACAAAGGGAACTATCTATAGCAAGAACACTTGGACAGATTACAGACTTAGGGAAACTATTTCCATCTTTCTTCCATCATAGACCATGTAAATTAAAGTTTAAATATGCCACAAAACTCCTAAAGGAAAATGTGAGAGAACAGACCCCCTTTACTGAAGAAGCATTAAATACAACTTAAAAGTCAAAAAATTTTGGTAAGTCAAAATAACAAGACATTTAAATAAAAATAGCGTGACATAAAAGGACAATACAAAGAGCTCCTAAAATCAATAAAAAGATATTAGCTTGAGATTAAATGAATTATCAAGAAATAGCTACAAATACAATAGTTGCATGAAAAAACCGCTCTATACCTAAAAAAATAAAATAAAACCCCAAAACTATGCCCTTATTAGGTTCAGAAAGATTTAAAATGATACATAATAGACCATGTTGGCCAGTGGGTACAAGTGGCCAATGTCACATTTGTTATTTGAAAAGGTATTAAAAACATACTTGCTGGGTGGTGGTGGTGCATGCCTTTAATCCAAATCCCAGCACTCAGCAGGCAGAGAGAGGCAGGTGGATCTCTGTGAGTTCGAGGCCAGCCTGGTCTATGGAGTGAGTTCCAGGACAGTCACAGCTACACAGAGAAACCCTCTCTTGAAAAACCAAAAAAAAAAGCACACCCTTTTCCACGGGCACTCTGAGGGTGCTCAACACTAATCAGATGATCATGGAAATATGTTAGCGCAGTGCTGCTTACAGTTAAAAGCTCAAAAAGGATTTAAGGACAAACAGAGGAGACAACGAGCTATGGTCTATCTGGACACGTAACATTTAAGCATAGGGAAGAGTCACAGGCATGGACAAAAAGGTAGCAATATTTATGGTTAAAAGTTTCACAACAACAATGAAAAGGTCTTAATCACATACAAAACACTTCCAGTCTCATTGTAGAACATTTTACTTAAGATAAAAAGAAAAAAAGAAACAAGTTATTGCCATCCAATCCTTCCTTCCAGAGATACAGACCTAATATTATATTATTCTACAATTTCATCTGCATACATACATTTTTGCAAGAGATGATATTTTAAATACAGCTGGATGATCTTTCTCCCTATATGTGTTTTAAATTATAAAAATATGATTTTTACAAGTTTTTATATAAATAATTTTTTAAGATTATGATTTGTGCACTTTAATTTTTTAAAACTATGATTTATGCATTTTAAGAACTGCACAAAGGTATTTCCATTTAGGGAACAAGTTTTAGCTTGACAACACCATTCCCTACCATCTTTGTTTATTGCTGTAGTTTATGTCTGTTCTCTTTTTCTTGAACATGTGTCTATATGTATGTATGTATGTGTGTGGTATATGTGTATAAACTTATGCATAAACACACACGTGCAGGTACACATTTGCAGAGGCGAGAGGTTAATGCCAAGTGTCTTCCTCAATCATACTCTACCTTATTTTTAAGACATGGTCTCTCCTGAACTTCTAGCTCAGCAATTGAGCTAGACTGGCTAGCCCCAAAGATCTTGCTGTCTCCATCTCCCAGTGCTGAGATTATAGGCATGAGGTGCCATGCCCATCTTTTTATAGCAGTGCTGGGGATCAGAACTCAGGTTTTCACACTCATGTGACAGAGACCTTATAGAATGAGTGCAGCCTTAAATGGGTACTGGGAACCAAACTCAGATCCTCTGTAAAAGCTGTGCACATTCTTTAACCACTGAGCTACCTTTCCAGCCCCAAACTTTGTTAAGTGTGTGTCTTGTGCCTGTGTGTGATGAGAGGTGAGGAAGGCTCACACCACAGCACAAGTGTAGTGCAAGAAAACAACTTTTAGAGTCAGTTCTCTTTTACACGGATGGGTTCCAAGGATTGAACTCACACCACACAGCTTGTGTAGCTAACTCCTCACCTGCTGGTCCCAGCCGTTGTATTGTATTTAGTTGTTGCTTAACTATTTGCATCTCTTCACTAATCTTACTCCTAGTGTCAAGACAAGACATGCTATGTATCCAACAAACGTATCTGAACAGAGATTTACTAACAAGGAAAGGAGAGATGGAAAACCTAAGAATCAAATCAAGGGAAGGCAGTATAAACTGCAAAAAGGAATCCCATCACCATGTTCTCTTCATTCGTAGATGGATAGACAGATATAGAGATACACACATATTCAAGCTGACCTCATGAAAAGTCCTCCCAAGTGCTAGGTTTACAATCACGTGCCACCATATTCTGCTTTTATTTCATTAAAGGAACAAAAAGTGTCTTTTGAAAAGACTGGACCAGAAGAACATTTTAAATCTTCTACTTCAGCTGCCTTGTACTTCCTACTACTACTGTAACTTTGTCATCACCAGACAGTAAAGCCAATGGCAAAGCCCAGAATAACTCACTGTTGTGTTTGAAGATTCGAATGGTTGCTCCCGACAGCCTGGCTCCTAGAACCAGTGATGCATGGTTCAGTTCATCACTCAGAATCAGACAACCCTGCAAAGTCACAAGCACAGGAAGGTAAGACACTAATCTCGCTGAAAACAGTTTTCAAAGACGCTTTAGAAGCATATGCAGAATTCGATCCTGAATCTCTCTAAGTTGCTTGATTGTTCATCTTAAAGGCTGGTAGGACACATGATCTAAAACGTGGAGCTCTGTATTGAGTCTCTTGTGCCCATGTTTAGATAAAAAAGATTTTCCTTTGTAAATTGAAGGTGATATAATACCTATTTCATGTGTTATAACAAAACAATGCCTTAAAATCCCTTAACAAACTGCCTAAAGCATATGCACTTAGATGTCACCTCCTAATATTTCATATTCATTTTATTTTTGAACCAACTATATAATAGAACCTCACAGTAGACTACAAGAAAAAAAGCCAGATTGATAACCTAAAAATGTTAACTAAAGGGTCTGAAAAACAACCTTGCGAATTTTGCCTGAAAAATAAATTGATGGAGGTGGGTCTTGTATCTTATCTGTTGCCTTCATTGGTTAACTAATAAAGAAACTGCCTTGGCCCTCATAGGACAGAAAATTAGGTAGGCGGAGTAGACAGAACAGAATGCTGGGAGAAAGAAGTTTAGTCTAGGAGTCGCCATGATTCTCCCACTCCAGACAGACGCAGGTTAAGATCTTTCCTGGTAAGCCAGCTCGTGGAGCTACACAGATTATTAGAAATGGGTTAGATCAATATGTAAGAACTAGCCAATAAGAAACTGGAACTTATGGACCAGGCAGCGTTTAAAAGAATACAGTTTCCATGTAATTTTTTCGGGGCATAAGCTAGACCTAGCTGGTGGCCGGGAGATAGAGCGGCAGGGAAGCGGCCCACAGCTCCTCACAACAATAAATTATCTGGAAAGAGAAGGAAGTTGGGAGAATGCTTTTAAAGTACACTAGACTAGAGCTTTGCATGCTAAGTCAGGCTTACAAAAGAGCAGTCCTCCTGCTCTTCTCCCAGTGATTTCAATTTAGACTTGAGAGGAGCTGCAGGGGGCATGGAGTCCCACCATGGCCTTCACCCAGCTTCCCTTTAGTAGCACCTTACCAGTGCAGCATCTCCCAAAGCCCAGAGGTTAACTGTGACACAGTACACTGATGAATGCAAAGCCTAGTTCATGTCTGCGATTAATCGTTTCCAGTCTACCCTTGGCGTCCATTGAGGCACCATCTTCATTTAATTGTAGCCCCTAGTCTTTTCCAGGGTACTTCCTGACTCCCACGTGCTGGCTGTCCCTTATTTTGTATAACGTCTCACTGCAATTTGTTTACTGTTTGTTCCATCTGTTCCTTAGAGAATCAGTTACAGCTGAACTGGAGTCACACTAACCGTTTACAAAGAAAACCTTGAGGACCAGTAAAGCAATGTGACATGTTCACAGTCACGGACAAGTTTGACCGTGTAACCAACAGAAAAGCAAAACCCAAGTCTGAGGCAACCCACTGCGTCTATCAATGTGCCTAAACATCCATGCTAAGATGTAAAACAAACAAAAGAGAAAACAACCTCAGGGGTTCTTTTTGAGCTGACAGTGCTGGGTAGCGACATTTAGAAAGCATTTTACCTCTCCTTACTTTAGCTGTAACAAGTTCAACTACAGAATGGACATGCAGAGATACAGACACACACATTACGTTTATATAAAATTTACCTATATATCAAGGTAAATGCATTTTCTTTCTGTTTGTTTTTTGTTTTGCTTTGTTTTTTTCAAGATAAAGTTTCTCTGTAACATTGGAGCCTGTCCTGGAACTCACTCTGTAGACCAGGCTGGCCTAGAACTCACAGAGATTCACCCGCCTCTGCCTCTGAGTGCTGGGATTAAAGGCATGTGCCACACTGCCTGGTACATTTTCTTATTTTTATACTTAGGTAAAACTATTAGGTTTCTGAATTAAACCTTTCTTTCATAATTTTAATCTTTTGGCATTTATTTTCATTGGAATTCTTTCAAAATTGTACAGGAAGAGGGAAAGACCACGGGTTCTAGGAGGAAAACTCCAACTAGTACTGGTTCTGCAAGATGTACTTGCCAAAAAAAAATCTGTGATGGAGTATCTATCATTGTAAACTGTGCTTAGCCTAATGTTAATAATAGGGCAACTGGATCAGGATGTGTTTATCAAAACAAAGAACATATGTATAAGAGAACTGCCACAAATGATGCCATCTTACTTTGCCAACAAGAGCAGGAATGTTCATTGAATTTGTGGCAAATCCCATGCCATAGGTCATAGCAGCTTCCACGCCCAAGAACCTTGCTACCAGTTTCTCTAGTTCTTCATGCTTGTCCAGGTTTCCTGTATGAAGAAGTCAATTAATGAAATCAGTATCATACTCAATTTTAAAATTACTAATTTATTAAGAGAAAACTGGACCAGCAAGACGGATCAGTGTGTACACTTGCTGCCAAGCCTGAGCACCTGAGCTCAATTCCTGGAACAAACATGGTATATGGGAGAACCAACTCCTGAGAGTTGTCCTCTTACCTATGCCACACATACACATGCACACAAATAAAATCAAAATATTTTTAGCAGGGTGATGGTGGTACGCGCCAGAGGCAGGCAGATCTCTGTAAGTTCAAGGCCAACCTGGTCTACAAGTGAGTTCCAGGACAGCTACAGCTGTTACCCAGAGAGACCCTGTCTCAATAAAAACAAACAAAAAACTTACAAATAAATAAATAAATAAAATAAAAATAAATCAATCCACGTGTTGCATTTTCCAACTCAGTTCATCAAGAAGCTGACACTATAAACAGCAACAGCTGTAAAAACACAAGAGCTGTTGCAGGTTCGGCAGCACATACACTAAAACTGGAACGACACAGAGAAGATTAGCATGGCCCCTGCACAAGGATGACACGCAAATTTGTGAAGCCAAAAAAAAAAAAAAACAAAAAACAAAAACCACAACAGCTGATATATTCAGATTTAGCAGCTCTGGAGAAAAAGGAAGACTACTAACTCAATGTTTTCATGTTCTAGTCTCAGGTCTAAGATCTAACAAGTTTGTGTCTACATTTTTGAAGTCACCAGTCATGCAAAACAGTGTAACTGGCCTGTTGCAAAGAGAGAATACACAGAGGATAAGAAGCTAGACAGCAGAAGTATCAGCAGCACTGCTGGCCAGCTGAGGTACCAGCTGTGCCCATGACACCACCTATCCTCAGGGATAATGGCTCACTTGAAACCACATGGAGCACACCTATTCTCACTTTCAAATGACTGTTAAGTCTGTACTATGACAACTACAGTGGCTTTCGAATCCCTAATGACTGAATGATTTGCACAAAGAATCAAGACTGAAAAAAGATTGTTGATCTTGAATGCTATGTATCATTAAGACTTTAACAAGTATTCATCGGCTGAGCACCACCAATAATAATCCCTTATCAATCTCAAGATGTTGTTATAAAGATCAAGATAACATGCTGGTACTTTACAAAATTCGCAGTGCCATAAAGATACACAGTGCTCACTGTACCCGATCCGTGTGTAGCTCTCTAGCTCACACCACTGACCTGTGATTTCTCAAGCTTCAGCTACAAAACTTACTTTAAAGGTGGAACTGGTGAGGTGGTGATGGCACACGCCTCTAATCCCAGCAGTTAGAAGATAGGCAGGCAGATCTCTGAGTTCGAGGCCAGTCTGGTTTACAGACTGAGTTTCAGGACAGCCAGAGCTACACAGAGAAACCCTGCCCTGAAAAACCAAAACCAAAACAAAAGAATTCTACTGATATTTTCTGTTGACAAGTTAACACACACACCCCAAAACACTGGGAGGACAAGAACTGAAACTCCATTTATGAATACTTGTAATCCTTAGCACAATTAGTGAAACACGAGAAATACAAGCATGGTAATGTAAAGGGTAAACTGCTTCACTAAAGATATCCTGAGGGGCTGAGGAGGCAGCTCTGTGATGGGACAGATGCACAGCATGTCCAAAGACCAGAGTCAGACTCCAGAACCAAAACAAGACAACTCCAATTCCTTTCCCTCAGAATACAGCCACTTTGGAAATTCTTCACAAAAATAATCAAGATAAAATAAGGTCCTGACAAACAGACATATACAGAGGAGGCACAGAAGACGACAGTGTCTGACACACAGGAAGACAGCCATGAGACCACAGGCTAGGGAACACTAAGGTGCTGTCAGAGTGAGCTTGGCCTTGCTAACACCTTGACCTCATACTTCTAGCCTCCACAATTCCCTATTTCTCATTCTTTGTTATAGTAGTCCTAGGAAGTCAACAGAGCTGGGAACTTTGAGAGAGACAAGGTTAAATCTATGTCCTTACCAAGTAGATGATGAGTTGATGAGAGAGGAGTACACTCACTGCATGAACTCCAGAGAGGCTTAAAGTGAGAGGCAGCAACAATCAAGGCAGGAAATGGTTAAGGCTGGGCTACAACCATGATATATAAAACCACAAAGCCAGGAATGGCAGAACACATCTGTAATCCCAGGACTTGTAGGAGGATCTCAAATTCAAGACAAGCCCGGGATATATAGCTGCAAGACTAAGCATACCTTACCCTCTTCCTCTTAATACCAAGCCCCCAAAACCATGAACTCCCACCGCTGATGGGACTATACAATAGTGTAGCTGCTCTGGGAAGCAGCTCAAAACGCTAATCATTACCATGTGATCTAGCAATACCACACCTAAGTATATACGCAAGAGAAATGAAAACGTTATTTCACAAATATATTCTTAAAGCCAAAAAGAAATAAACCAAATGTCCAGCAGAGATAAACACGATGTGGTTGGTACACACACACAATGGGTTGTTACTTAGTCACAAAGTAGAATGGCATGCTGATGCAGTCTATGAAGTACTAATGCATACTACACATAGGCAATCTTGTGAATGTACGCCAAGTGAAAGAAGCCACACGTGAAAGGCCACAATGTTACATGAGTCCATGTATATGAAATGTCCAAAGGAGGCAAAAAAAAGACTGCAGACCACTGGCTGCCAGTGAATGCTAGGGGGTCAGGCAGCTCTATAGAGGGAATGAAAATATTCTAAAATTTAAACTGTCATCTCTGTCATCTCTGCAAACAATCCTAAAAGAAGTATACTCTTCAAATGGACAAATTATACATCATATAAATTATATATTTTTTTTCTGAAACAGAGTTTTGCTATAGCTTTGCAGTCTATCCTGGAACTAGTTCTTGTAGACCAGGCTGGCCTCGAAATCAAAAAGATCTGCCTGCCTCTGCCTTCTGAGTGCTGGGATTAAAGGCGTGCACCACCATCACCTGGCCAATATAAATTATATCTTAATAAAGCTTTTAAGACAAGAGACAGAAAGTAACACACTGTCCCTTCTAAGCCTAGCACAAGCAACCCAGTAACTCTGCCTTCTTTCGCCCACACAGTAAAAGAACATCATTTAGAACGCCTGGGCTTCAGATACTGAAGTATACGTACTTCCAGGTAAATGGTGAGGAATGGCAAGTTTATAGACAGATCTGCCCACCCAATTTCTCAGTAACAAAAGACAAAAAATGAAAGGACAGAAAACAGGAACGCAAAACAATTAGGAGATAAATACTAAGAGTCTGCACATATTTTTCAAAAGCAATAACTAAGAAAATGTTCAGGAGATTATCACGAAACCAAAGAATATGAGTCTTCAATTTATAAGGATCCACAAAGCAGCAAGACAGCACAGCTTGTGAGGGAGATTCATAACAAGGTAAAACTGAAATTTCCCGATATACTCAAAAGAAACGAGGTCTTTAAAACTAGGGGGAAAAAATCTCAAAAAGAAAGGGGAAGAAAAACCGTTTTCTCATATGGAGACTCTAAATTTAAACAAATTATTATATGAAAGCACAATCGGGGCTTTAGGGGAAGGAGGGGATGGAAGGAGTTGGGGTAAAACAAGGATGCTATTGGGTGTACGAACATGAACAATGTAAAAGCCCATGTGTGCATGTATGTATATAAGAATGATACCCATTTTTTGCATGTTAACTAAAAATATTACATTTTTAAGGTGTCCAAGAATATGCAAAACCAACAAAGGCCCAGAAAAACAACAGCAGAATCCATTTCTGCAGGAAGGGGAACTACATGGCCGAACCACATGTAGCATGTAGGTTTTTCATTGCATGCCTTTGGGTACTTTGGGAATTACTAGCTATGTTTATGTATTATTTATCCCCATCAAAGGTTTCTAAACAATAAAGTCTTTCTAGTTAGAAATTTGGAGAGAAGGAATTACACAAAAACGCTATGAACCATAATAACATCATACTTGACCGGCCCCACTCCTCACAAGATATTTTTTTTTAATATTTTATTTATTTATTATGTATACAATATTCTGTTTGCATGTATGCCTACAGGCCAGAAGAGGGCACCAGACCTCATTACAGATGGTTGTGAGCCACCATGTGGTTGCTGGGAATTGAACTCAGGACCTTTGGAAGAGCAGGCAATGCCCTTAACCTCTGAGCCATCTCTCCAGCCCTCACAAGATATTTTCAACCTTGCATGTGGTAGTGCCAGAATGACTAGCTGAGCAATATTATCACATAAAAGACAGTTTCTGATAACATATTTCAATTCCCTGCACACCCAGGAGGGCACTAGACAATGAGCTCTACCAATGAGGGGTCCGTTACTGAGAGGAAGGAACAGGGAATAAGGAATCCAAATTGGACATAGGAACAAAATTCCTAAAATGGCTCCTCTCACCCCAAATAAAGAAATACCAGAATGCCACAAGAGCTAGTTCCAGGACAGGCTACAAAGCTACAGAGAAACCCTGTCTCGAAAATCCAGAAAAAAAAAAAAATACCAGAATGTAATTGTAAAACAGTCCTGAGAGCTATTGGTTCAGACTAAAGCAAGAGACAGAGTACACAGAGAACTACAGTAAAAATAACATGCTTCTCAAACCTCCTCAGCAGTGATATTTTGTTTGTGTTTTAACAAATAAAGCTTGCTTGAAGAACAGAGTGCAGAGCTAAGCCACTAGAAGCCAGGCAGCAGTGGCACACACCTCTAATCTCAGGACTTGGGGGGCAGACAGATCTCTGTTAGTTCAGGGCAACCCTGGGCTACACAAAATTGATCCAGTCTCAAAGAGAAAAAGAGCTCACACAAAGGTGACCCCAGTACTTGGGAGTCAGGTGGAGACAGGAGCGATATATGACCGGGCAGAGAGAGGAAGATAAGGTGGGAGGAGACAGGGGCTCAGTGCAGCCTGAGGATGCAGTCTGAGCACTGGTAGAGGTAAGAATGCTCTAGTGGCTGGCCACTCTACTTCTCTGATCTTCAGCATTAACCTTTATATCTGACTCTGGGTTTTTATTATTAATATCAATAAGAATTGTGCTACACTCTGAGGCTCCTCCAGCCCTGGAGACTCAGTGGGTTATTACATTGGGGTGGCGGTACACTCCTTTAATCCCTGTACTCAGAAGGCAGGTGCAGGCAGATCTCTGAGTTCAAGGCCAACCTGGCCTATAGAGCACATTCCGGGACAGTCAAAGCTATAGAAATCCTGTCTTAAAACAAAACAAAACAAAAACAACAACAAAGAGCACTGGCTGCTCTTCCAGAGGACCTGGGTTCAAGTCCAAGTACCAACATGGCAGCTCACAGCTGTCTATAACTACAGTTCCAAGGGATCTGATACCCTCATGCAGACACACATGCAGGCCAAACACCAATGCACATAAAATCAAAAATTTTAAAAGATGGTTAATCTTTCACATTTTACAGATTTGTAACAACAGTTTACATTTACTGAGTATCTAATTCTATTCCAAGTGCTTTACATGAATTAGCTTATTTAATTCTTGGAACATATCTACGGATTATCAGCCCTAGCTTGCCAGCATGAAAGCACATTAGTTTTGAGAGTTCCTGTGCAATAAGTGGCACTTCTAAGAGTCACGAAACAATAAAATTTACAAAACCTTGCTATAGACATTATGTATATGCAACACACTGGGATCCATCTCAAAATGTGTTGCAAATATTAAGATTATCCATCACTTGAGGAAAAGAAAGTGTGTGTGTGTGACCTAACTCACCCTGAGCTCATACTTACCAATCTCTTGGCGAGTGCTGCACACTCCAGCTCCATACTCCTTGAGAACTTCAGCAGCTGCTTCCTGACATGATCCAGTGTTTCTCGCAAATCCAAGATAGTTGTAGGAACCCATGTTTATAACACCTTTAATTATATTCCCTGTGTACCTGTGTTTCAATAGTATAAAACTTAATGATACTCACAGCATGCCTAATACTTAAGGGTGACATAATACACTGGTAACACAAAAGCACTATACAGAGAAATAGAGAGGACACTATCTGTAGAAAAGGAGCACAGACTCATTACTAACAGGGGAGAAGAAAGGTACAACAAAATCTAACAAGCACAAGCATGAAATCATCAAAGAATAAAAATTATTTTTAAAAAATGTTAATCTATTAACAGTGATAAAATTATATAAAGTGTGATAGCCAACGTTGGTTTAGAACATTCTTATAAACTAGCCTTCATTCAATATTTTCTTCTGGAGGGCAATTTGGTGCGACTTATTCACTGAAAATTATATATGTTTTGATTCAGCAATTCTACATGTGAGCACGCACACACAAGGATCCTTTAGGAGCCATTGTCCTCCCATAGGCACAGGGACCAGTGATGATCCCCCCTATGATGGAAGCTCAGTCGGTAAGGATGTCATGGTTCAGATGACTGACGGTAGAAGTAAAGTGCTGAGCCTTTAAGTGCCTGGGATCTGGGACTGACTAGCATAAGATGGCTAGTGATGGCACACCAACACTGTGGAATATTATGTAGGTATTAGCCACTACAAACAATGAACTTATAGTGAACATACACATAGGCAAGATGTTGCCAGTATGTTAGCAAAAAAAAAAAAAAAGAATATATATAAAACATATGATCCCATTTTTGTGTATTAAAAAGTGAGTTTGAGGGCTGGAGAGATGACTCAGAGTTTAAGAGTACTGGCTGCTCTTCCAGAGGTCCTGAGTTCAATTCTCAGCACCCATACGGTGGCTCACAGCCATCTATAATGAGATCTGGTGCCTTCTTCTGGTTGCAGGACTACATGCAGGCAGAACACTGTCATTTCCCACTCTATAGTCTTGTTATACAAAAGGTTCTCAATTCAGGAGATCTAATTTATGGCTTCTCACAATGTTTGTGCCACTGAGACTGTGTTTACGATGTGGCAAGATGTGCTTCAAAAAAAATTTTTCTCTGTGAGGTTCAACATAATTTTTATATGCTGAAGCCTTTGGCTCATTTGGGCTTAATTTTATACATGGAGATGGATATAGATCTATTTTCATTTTTCTACATGTTGGTGTCTAACGAGGCCAGCATCATTAGTTAAAAAATGCTTCATTTTTCCATTTTTCTATTTGCAAGGCAGACTTAAAACTTAAGAGGAGGATAGCTTACAAACTTTTAATTAGATATTCAATGGTTAAAGCCCTACTTATAATATTCTTATGGGAGATACTGAATCAACAGGTAAAGTATATAATAATCAACAAAATACAGTATATTAATTATAATTCAACTATGGCAAGAATATGTATATTAAATATAAAACTTATTCTACAACAGTTTTATAAAAAAATGCTGTTTATGGCTAAACCTTCCCAGTTTTGCCAGTTGATATTAAACTCTTAATTTAAAACAGTAGCCTGTCTGGTACAAAAGGGCAGGATAACATCTGAAAAAATGGTTTGATAGAATATTGACTATGATCAATGTTTCTTATACTAAATAATAGATTCATTGATAATTTTAAGATGGATTCCTGGACAATTGTATTTGCTCAATTCAAAAGCCAAAAACAATGGTCTTTTCCCAAATCATTGCTACAATTCACACACCTGTATTTTGCTAATGTTATAACAAAAAATCCCTTAAAGGATTTTATGCAAAAATTTTACAAATGGCTCTTCCAATGGAGGAACTGTGTATATGGCTAATAAAAAAAAATTGTGGGGCATAACAAGGCTCCTTCAAAGCAACTCATAGAAGTTACAAGCAGATCCAGATGCAAACGGATCTGGCATGATAACACCAAGCCGACCTTTGCTAAGGCAAGGTGGAAAAGCCCTTGCAATGCATTATGAAAAAACCCGAACTATATATATTTGGGGTTGAGGATGTGTTTATGCTTTTTTCACAGAAAGAAAAAATCTGGACTTGAGTCGTGGCTGCAGACATCCCACAGAGGACTTCCAGAGGCCACTGGAAAGGTCCTTGGTCCGGCCTTCCCTGCCCCCAAGGAGAAGAGTGCCTGATAACAGAACCTACCACTCCACTCTGCAGGGTGTCATCCTGCCTCCAGAGTCTAGGGACACCCGCCTGAGATAGTGCCAGGATGTGCTTCAGATAGCTAAATCCAGCTCACCTCACCCTGGAATCCCAGCTGCCCTGAAGCACAAATGCTGAACTGCTTCTACAGTTTGAACTCTGGTTTGCTTTAAAGCTAAGATGCAGACTAAACATCAGACTGCTTTAATCTTTGGGACACAAAACTCATTTTAATTAAAATATTAATGCCTCTTCACTTAAGAAGGGGAAAGATTGGGGTTCCTGTCACTGTTGCTCAGAGACTGGAACTGGTGGTATTTGATAACAACAATGTATGTCATTGTACTCTTACTGCAATTGATCTAATGATATTTGTAACTGCTTATGTTGGAAAAGGTTTGACACATGCTGTAAAGTGTTTGGGTTTAATGCATATGTTTAAAAGTTTAGATTTATACCCCTTTTACACTGCACTAATTTTTGGCAAACAGCACTCATAATCTTATTGTGGAGTAGGCATTTAGGAAGGAGGATACCTTAGGCCAGACTAAAAGGTGAATACTGGGTTTGGAAAAAGCCCTTTCTTCTTGTTCTGGAAGATGGAGTTATTGGTGCCCAAAAATTATATCATTATATCTTTTGTTTGAAGAACTCTTCACAGTCTTTTCATTAATGATAGACTCAGGGGCCCAATGACGGGAGTTAGTGTGGATCCTCACCTGAATAGCACACCATACAGAGGCTGTAAAGGCCGGCTCAACATGGCATGGTGCCAGGTACGAGGAACGCTCTTCACATAGCCTAAGACAGGATGCCCTGTGGTCTGCTTACTTTAATCCTGCTAGATACCTTTTATTTGAGAAGCTCCAAGGAAATAATGCTACTCATAAGGCACCCCTCTGTCCCCATGAGAGGTAAAATTGCTTCACCATTCGAGAGAAGGGTTTCTACTTGTCCCAGTTCCTTCTCTTTTAAATCTGACACCAGGGTTGACTCTGACTTGGTGCCTTCCACTTAATAACTGCTTGCCTTTATATAAGAGAGGGGGAATATGTCAGGAGCCATTTCCCCCAATCATTACAGGAACCATCACCCTAGGGGGTCTGCAGAGAACCCCTCACCCAATTAACTGTTAATCTTAGCGGAACCCGCCTCACATTCCAGCTATCCAGGGAACCAGGTGTGGCAACTTGTGACTTCTTTGCCTACCTCCTGGCCTACGTGACCTGGAACATGCGGCAAGAATCCAGTTTCCCTTCCCCCCATTCCTTACCATATATAAACTGTAACCCGTCCCTAATAAACGGAGGCTTTGACAAATCTGCTTGTCCTCCTTCTTCTGTCTTAGCTCATTCCCTTCCAGGTAGCGCCCCTCCGAAACCCTGGAGTAACTTGATTGCCGGGTGGGTTACAAACCCCTAGACTGAGTAGCCCACCCAAACGCAATCCACAGAACACTATATATATAATAAATAAATCTTAAAAGAAAAAGTGAGCTTGACACCAACCTGGTCTACAAAGTGAGTTTCAGGACAGCCATAGCTACATAATGAGATCCTGTTTCAAAAAATAAACAATGCTGGACAGTGGTGGTGGTGGCACACACCTTTAATCCCAGCACTTAGGAGGCAGGGACAGGTGAATGCCTGAGTTTGAGGCCAACCTATTCTATTTGCAGGACAGCCAGGGCTACATGGAGAAACCCTGCCTCAAAAAAACCAAAAACCAAAACAGAACAAACAATAAAATAAAAACAAAAGAATCGAATGAAACAGAAAAAAAGCCCTTGAGATCAATGAGGGCTGTGGTGTGTGTAGCTCACTGGTGCAGCATTTGCCCAGCATCCCTGCACTTCCTCCAAAAAGTATTCCAAGAACAAGGACAGTACTGCCAGGAAAGTAATCATATTGTATCTTCAGCTGCTGCTTTTGCTTTGAGAGAATACCCAAATTCCTCTGTTGGTAAGAAATAATTTCTAAAATGACTCACTTGAACGACCAGTTGTAGTCATGGGACTGTCTCTCCATGATGTCCACCCTGGCTCCAGGCACACTACAAATAGGTCGGTTCCAGTTGTCTCTTATCCTCATGTAGAGGTTTCTTGTATAGAAGTTTTCAAAATCCTGATACAATGACACAAAGTCCTGCCAACAAATAGGAAAACAGTAAAATTTAACTGATTTACTTAAAGAAAAGTCTCACAATTTTTCTTTTCATATCTCAGGAGTACATATTTAATTAACTGACATATCAAAAATACATTTGGAAAGGCGTTGATTCTACGTTTATTTCAAGTCTTTTTGAAAGAAACTTAGTGTTGGTGTTTGACCTATTATTTTATGATTTCACATAACTAAAGCACATTAATGTAGAACTAACTGCTTTCAAGTTATACCCACGGAAATAAAACCCAGTCATATAATTCTGCCATTGAATAGTTTCCCTTCTTAGCAAACTGGAAAAAACTACCCTCCCACGTGCTTTGCACATAATAAAGCAGGGAAGATGCCAGAAAATTGTTTTAATCCCAGTTGAAAAGGAGAAAAACACAAAAATACTTCTAAGATTAAGATTTTTTAATCCTCTGCATATGCTCAAGGATCAAAATCAAACCCACCCATACCAAAAGATTAAAAAAAAAAACCACTAACACATTCAGTAGAGTAAGTCTTTGGCCTTGGATTTTGGATTTTCCCTATTAGACAGAAGTTAAGAATGTACATTCTGGTCTAGAGAGAGGACTTGTTCCAGCACCCATATTAGGCAGCTCACAACCACCTGTAACCCCAGCTTCAGGGGACCCAAGCCTCTGTACTGGCATGCATATACCTACACATAGCACACATATACACAGAATTCAAAACAAAACGAACAAATAATCCTCTAGAGGCAGGTAGATTCTGAGTTTGAGCAGCAAGTTCCAGGACAACCGGAGCTACACATGAGACCCTGTCTGAACACAAACGAGTACATTCTGAAAATGGACTCCTACCCCACTGATTTTAGTCTCCCTTTTCTTTAAGAATAAACTAGAATTTTAGTCTGTAAAAAGTTAAATTACGAGAAAAAAATTAAGTTACAATAGAGCCAAAATGAATGCACAGTGCTATTCCTGCGTCAGTTCACACGAGACCTACCGAGCTAAAGGGTCAACCACACAGAGAGAAAACAGAAGTGTGCTTTACTGTAATCAGCTCATCACTGAGTTTGTAGCCATCGGGTCTGGGCTTGTTGTCAAACTACATTAATCTGGTAAGTAAACCTATCAAAAACATTTTAAAACCATATGCTTCACATTAAAAAAATTCTATATAAATTCTAAAATAATCTTTCATCGACGTGGACTCTAAAGTGCCTAAGACTTAGCTGAGCCCCTGAGTAGATATCATCTCTTCAGGCAGCTCAGGAGAATTCTCTGAACGTAAAGAACAGACCAGCTCTCTCATAATTCCTTCTAATATTCACCTTTTTCTTAAGGCAAAATAAACCACCTCACATCCTACCATCTCTATCACTGTTCTAAGAAAATAAAGAATACTGGGGCTGGAGAGATGGCTCAGCAGTTTAAAGCATTTGATGATTTTGCAAGGATCCGAGGTAGTTCCCAGGAGTTACTGTGGCATGGGAGAATTGTCTGTATTCTGTCAATCATGTTATAAATAAACACTGATTGGCCAGGCAGAAAATATAGGCGGGAAAACCAGACAGGAAGTAGAAATGATGTAATGAGAACAGGAGAATTCTGGGAAGGAGGAAGTTGATTCCTCCCACTTCTGCCCAGAGAACCAAAGCAGCAGGATGTGTGCTGCCCCACTGAAAGAAGGTACTAAGCCACATGGCTAACATATATCAGAAAAATGGATTGATCAAGATGTGAGAGTTAGCCAGTGAGAGGCTAGAGCTAATGGGCCAATCAGCTTATAACTTATAGAGATCTATGTGTGATTTTTCTCTGGGACTAAACAGCTGTGGGAACCTGGCGGGACAGAAAACCCCAACAACAAACAGGCACCCCTCCATGTTACATTACTGTAACAGTAATTGGAGTCTGTAACTCCAATTCTGGGAGCTCCAATGAGCTCTGAATATGGGTCAAAGACATTTGCAGGAAAAGGACTCATACATATTTAAAAATATTATATAATAATAATAATAATGTGTCTGTCATAACTGGAAGGTAATCACTTAATAAACCTGTTCCCTTTCATAGTCTCCCCTTCCATCAAGGATACCAGCTAAGCAAAGGTAGGGACAGAGATACTCAAATTCTAATTATTTTATTTTGACTATTATTTACCATGTATTTATTTCCAAAAGCATGTACATATGCATGGATATACGAGCATGTGCATGTGTGTGTGCGCATGTGCACGCAGTAGTCTTCATCTTCACACTGACTAGACTAACAGCATGTTTTGTTGTTTTGGAAACAGGTCTCAAATTCATTATGTAGCCAAGGATGACTTTGGCTGTCTCCCTCTGAAGTGCTGAGATAACAGTATACCCATGTGGTGATAGGAGGCAATCCCTCTATTATTAACTGAACTATGTACATTCCAGTCTCTAGCTTCTGCTAGTAAAACCACAGTACTGATCATCTCGGCTCACTCTTATTAGCTATTAGTGTGTATACATGCATGTGCTCATATATGTATTGTGGATATGCATGCCACAGCATGTATGGAGGCCAGAAGACAGCTTCTTGGAGTTGGTTCTCTCCAAACACCTTAACATGAATTCTCTGGATCCAATTCAGGTCACTAGGCTTACAAGACAAGTGCCTTCCACACTGAGCCATCTCACCAGCTCTGATAGACACACGTATTACACGTTTTTTGTCCGAAGAAAACATTAAATGTAAAGAGGGCATTGTGTCTTGCAAATCTGAAGATCCTTTCTAACTCTAATCAGCTATTTTAAACAGTTTTTTTCAACTGTTTTCTAAACATCGCACATTAATGTTCAAGGATGAACTCTAAATACTTTAAGCAACTGTTTTCTCACAGACAAATTTTTATTAGCAACAAAAAGGTATGTTTTAAATACATCAGCATGGAAAAGGCAAAACAATCCCTCTGAGGCTGGTTCAGATACCAGAAGGGGGGGGGGGGCTGGAGAGATGGCTCAGTGGTTAAGAGCACTGCTTGCTCTTCCAAAGGTCCTGAGTTCAATTCCCAGCAACCACATGGTGGTTCACAACCATCTGTAATGAGATCTAGTGCCCTCTTCTGGCCTGTAGGCATACATGCAGGCAGACCACTGTATACTTAAATAAATCTTTAAAACAAACAAACAAACAAACAGATACCAGAAGGGTAACCAAAAGCCAAGACAGGAAAAGGGCTGCAGGATAGAGCATGGCAGAGCTTCAATGGATAGAACAAGGGATGCCAGGTCCAAAAGCAGTGGGCACAACAGCAGCAGAGGGACTTAGGCCAAATTTAGTTTTTCTTGACCCCCTACCTAGTTCTAAGGTGGCAGCTTTAGTGGAGGTTAAATAGGGAAGCAGATCTAAGGACAGCTAACTAGATTCCATGAAGCTTAGCCCAGAAGAGAAATTGCTATGGAACACCTCAATTCCAGACAATCAGGGTGTCTATTGTCTGAAAAATCTTGTACCTTTGATATTCTAGGACTAAGGTTAAAGTAGGGGACTTGGTTCAGCAAGATGGCTTAGTAGGTAAAGGCACCTGCTGCGAAGCCTGACTACCTCAGAACTTACATGAAGGAGAGAACTGACTCCTGCATGTTTTTCTCTGACCTCCACACACATGCGGAGGACACCACCTCATTACAAATAGATGTAAATTAAAAGATTTTAAATGAGGACTTATTTTTTCATTCATTTATTCACCATGTTGACAGACTTTCAAGCTACATTAAAGAACAAAGTGGGTTGATCTCTCTTCAAATAATGAAATCCTATCATTTCTACCCCATGTCACCATTTCCCTGCCCTTCTCTCCTCCTAATCCAGTCACTGTGGAATGACTTTAGTCAGGGTGGACCTACAGTCACGATGATCCATCACTGAACAAACATTGACAGAGTAGTTCCTTCCAGGCACGAACTGGGCATGAGGGATAAGGTAAGGGAGCACGTCTCTGCACGGCAAACAGGTACAAAAACATAGCTGATGCCTGGTACGACAAAGTATGTACTATGAAAGGATCCCGGTCCACGGATGGGGAAAAGTATCTAATCAGTATAGACAAGTCCAAGCAGGCTTTAAGGATGTATTCTTCATGGATGATCTGCCTACAATTCCTCACTAGTACAATAAATAGAAAGAACCAGTATCTTCTTGAGACCTGCCTATATGTTAGGTTTGCAGCTCTTCAGTTAAGAGATTCCTTTACTCAAGAGGAAAACTCAGATTCATGGACTTGCTAACTAGGGGTCACCGTAAACACTACCAAAAGTAATCTGAGGTCACCTTATTAAATAGTCACTAAATATCCTGCAGTGGTATATTTAAGGTGAGTCTTTGAGAAAACATGCTACATTGTTTAAAACAGAGATCTCGCCTAGTGTAGTGTCTATGCAGGCCTTCCTTATACTCACAGGGGTAAAGATGGGCGCAACCACTTTGAGACAGAACTTTCCAACTATTCATGTCCATAATGTGCAATTCTGTCCCAACAAAGGGGTCTACACATTGTTAAATAATCACAAGAGCAGCAAGCATTCCTATCTATTATTTATAATATACTGGGGTACCTGACAATTGCTTTACATATACATGCTTTTTTACATACCTGAGTATCTCTTTACCCTCTTACAAAAGATGTTGTTTCTCCAACCTTCAGAAAGGTAAAATTTTTTTTTTTTTCTGTTAAGGAACCAGCTTGAGCCATAGCCACAATCTGATGTGGATTTTTTAATTCCAAACTATGACCCTGATCCCAAGGCCACACTGTGAGACAGGTGGGCAGGCAGGCACAGGCACTGAATTCCAGACACTCCTGAGACCTGGCTATGGAAGTGAAATGACAATGCGTACAAGGAAGATCTGTAAGGCTGAGCCACTGCTTTTCTTTTTACATCAGGTAACCTGCACACAAATCCACAGCAGACCCTCACACTGGCAACACCAGTCAGCTTCCACATTCCACAGCCTGATACTTGTGGCAAGAGCAGTTTCCAAATCTGGCGTGGCTTCTTAGCTGGGGGAAGAGGCTCTGAACCCAACCCAGTGCTCTGGAACATTATAAACATCTGATTCCTCCTCTCCTTCAGTGGCCTACAGTAATGGGGGCTAATTCCACTGCACTTTCAACTATATCAATACATTCTCTATAATCACTACTTGAAAAATATTTAATAAATAAGTTGTCTGTATTTATAGATTAAAAAGAATAAAATTTAAATAATGTGCTGTTGGTCACCCACCAAGTAATAGGGCTGAGCTGGAAACCCTAGCAGCATTCCAAACTAGCAGCCATTAGTAGTAAAGCTACACTTACTCCAAGAAAAATCTTCAGTGACACTTTTAACTCAACAATTTCCATTTAATTTTAGAGCCCAGGTATTATGGTTTGGACCAAAGGTCTCTGAAAGGCCCATACCAGTCTGAGTGGGGGGTTGTGAACCTTCAGCACATAGAACCTGACATTAGAGTAATGGGGATGCCCTTGGGATGGTGAGACCCTGGCCTCAGTTCTTCCTCTGCTTTCTGGCTGCCATTAGGTGGGCACCTTTGCTTCACCCTGGGCACCCCATCATGCCTCATCGAAGGTTCATAAGTGACAGAGCTACAAAGCTCTTTGATCACTGAGCCTCCATAAACTGCTCTTCCTTTGAAGCTGTCTGTCTAAAGTTCTTTTAATCACAGTGAAGGACACACTAGGGTACAAATTTCAATTTATCAAAAAATAAAAAGACAAAATTTCTCTCAAACATGAACATTTGAGGCAAATAACACTGCTTTGATGTTGATAGAACATGCCCTGAAACAGGTTGACATCAAGACAATCTAGAGTCTTATTTATCCTTGGCTTTCGGTAAAGAGAATAAAAGAAAAATGCATAAAACCACTGGAATCATGAAATAGCTTTTATGTTTATTTAAATCTTTGAAATAGAATGGAAAAGATAAAAATCTATTGAAAGCAGGCAGAGACAGGCAAATTACTGAGTCTGAGGTAGCGTGGTCTACAGCCATGTAGTAAAAGGAACAGCGGGCTGCGTTCCCAGCCCCCGGCTAGCTTTACACCCGAAATAATTACACGGAAACTGTATTCATTTAAACACTGTCTGGCCCATTATTTCTAGCCTCATATTGGCTAACTCTCACATCTTGATTAACCCATTTTCATTAAATCTGTGTAGCACCATAGGCTGTGGCTTACTGGGAAAGATCTTAACCTATGTCCGTCTCAGGCCACTACACACACTGAGCATACATACACAGAGATAAACAGAAATACAAATAAAATTAATCCTAAAACTGTAAACCATAACTGTAATTCTCTAATTTGGTGGTGGTGGCACATGCCTTTAATACCAGTACTTGGGAGACAGAGGCAGGTGCATCTCTGAGACAGAGGCTAGCATGGTCTACAGAGTAAGTTCCAGGATGGACAAGACTACACAGAGAAGCTGTCTAAAAAACAAAAACAAACAAACAAAAAATCTACTTTGTCTGAAGGTACTAAAACAGCTACCTATTTGGAAAACCCCGAAGTACTTCTGAACCCTAATCTACTTAGCCCTGAAGGCCACACATGAAATAATAAATATCCTGATGCCGGCAGGTACTCAGTTCTCTAAAGATTTCAAAATACATGACAATAATCGACACAATAACGCATTCCAAATACAGGATACTGCAAAAAACTCTGTACTGTCAATGTTTATTTGGGCACTATTTTTTCTACTAGAGAAGATAACTTTAAGATAGAACCTCAAATAGCAGAAACAGGGCTGGAGAGATGGCTCAGTTAAGAAAGTACACTGTTCTTCCGGAGGACCCTAGTCCAGCCACAGAGAAATTGGCCAGTTATCAGCATAAAGACGGGACTGAGAGTACTCACCTTAAGATGAAGTTTGGCCTGAAACAATTTAGCCAAGGATGTCTTTGAGCTCAACAGCAATGCTCCTGCCTCAGCCTACCAAGAGCTGGCATTATAGACATGAGCCACCATGCCTCTCTTTCCTGCTTTTTCGAAGTGTACTCTCTTTCTTTACTGGCTGCTCATTCAGAGATGATCTCACCACCCTGTATCTGACTCCCTCCAAGTCCACAAAGAACAATGTAAAGAATAAGAAGCCAACGCCAGGGGCAAGGGAAAGCTCAGTCAGCATCTAGCGGGTTGCCATGCTCCAGCAAGATGCCCCACACTGAGGCACACGAAAGCAGCACTAATGGGATGGAGTGCAATATTTAAAATAAATAAAGTGGGGAGGGACCCAGGGAGAATGACTAGAACGGAAATATCTGGGGATCGCATTGTATGACTTCTCAAAGAATAATTTTTAAAAAAAACTTTCAATGCTGAGTGTTTATTAGGAATGGGTAACACATGTGCACTGCATAAAGCTGTGAAGGTATGGGAATATTCTAAGAGTGGCCTGAACTGAATCTGATCTTCCTCTTGGAAACAGTCACTACCCCTCCATTTACTAAAACAAGAGCGTTTGCCACATTAGCTTGGGGACAGGCATTGACCTGTGAACTGGACAACTATGTCCAATGTGTCTAAGAGAATCCAGTCTCTGCATTATAAACATTATAAACACAATGTAGGATCCAGAAAGAAGGATGAACATTCCTTCTGCACCATATACACTATAAAACTAGGCAATTTTTAGACACACTGCTTGTGATTGTTAGCTTTCTAACCTATGAAATAGGGATGCCATTGTCAGCTTCATTAAGCTCTAGTAATGTGGTTAAGTTAAAGTTCAATGTTGCACGGGAGTGGTAGTGCATGCCTTTAATTTCAGCACTCAGGAAAAGTCAGGCAGGTGGATCTCTAGAGGCCGGCCTGGTATAAAAAAAAAAAAACCTGTCTCAAAAAGGAAAAAAAAAAAAAGTTAAATAGTTTGCTCTGTTTTTGTCTTTGATGTTTACTTTATGTTACATGAGTATTTTGCCTGCATGTTTGTATGTGGATCAGAAGGTGCAGCTGTGAGCCCCCATGGGGATGCTGGGAGCTGAATTCAGCTCTCTGCAAGAACAAGTGCTCTGAGCTTCCGAGTCATCTCTCCGGCTTTCAACACTGTCTTCAGCTTTCTTTGTGGAGTATACTCACAAAGGTTTGTTACAGTTGTTATTTGGTGTCTGCTTTGTTTTGAGACAGAGTCTTACTCTGTACCCCAGGCTGGTCTCAAAATCACAGCAATCCTTCTGTCTCAAAGTTTAACTCCATGTGCACAGATTTCCACTTGGGGGAGGGGGAAACCGTGAAAATGACAACACTTCTATGAACGGATTCTATTTAACAGAACCAAAGACTCCCTGACAATTACCTTTTGTTCTTCTCTTTCTGTTGCATGGTGGCATTTTTCAATTCTCCAGTGCCTCAAGAAATCTCGAAGATATCCAAAGAGAGTGAGCACGCCATACCCCACATATGTGAGCACAGCAACCAGCATGGGTGTTTCTTCAAAAACTTCATTAAACGGTCTTTTATAAAGTCCTCCATTTTCTGTAACATGATGAATCTAAGAAAGCAATTAAAATTGTTTGTTGAAACCACAGCAAGAAAAAAAATTTCTACTTAAAATCCAAGTCCTGAGAGATTTGTAGAACAATATACTTTGAGAATTGAGTAACAGGCCAGTGAACATGCTAAGGCCGTGCTTATTGTCAAGAGAAATGATGTAAAAATCACTTATGAACAATGAAAGGTAGGAAAAGAGACAATCAGAATCAACACTGATCAACATTGATTTTTCTCAGATTCCAAACACTTTTATCTCAAGGAGCATTGTTCTAATAAAGAAAATGAAAATAAAAAAGAAAATAAAAAGAAAAGAAAATAAAAAGAGACAGGCTAGCCGGGCGGTGGTGGCACACACCTTTAATCCTAACACTTGGGACGCAGAGGCAGGTAGATTGCTGTGAGTTTGAGGCCAGCCTGGTCTACAAGAGCTAGTTCCAGAACAGGCTCCAAAACTACAGAGAAACCCTGTCTCAAAACAAAGTAAATATTTTACTACCAGCTATCCTTTTTGTTTGTTTGTTTTTTGATTTGTATTTCAAGACAGGATTTCTATGTAGCCTTGGCTGGCCTGGAACTAGCTCTGTAGACCAGGCTGGCCTTGAACTCAGAGATCCACTTGTCTCAGCCTCTGAGTGCTGGAATTAAAGGTGTGCACAACCACCGCCTGGCCATACCAGTCATTCTTAAAGCCACACAGCTGTAGTATCAAACGACTATTGGCATAAGGCTGCAGCAGTGCCTATTAACTTCCCTCAGTGATAACACACACATAAAAGTAAAAGGAGGCTGCGGAAAGAGCTCAGCAGCTAATGGTTCAATCCCTAGGACCCACAGGCTGAGCTCCCATAAACTGTCCTGGCTCCCACATGAGCTGTATGTATGTAGCACACAGGTGCCCACAATAATACCTGTAATACAGCCAGGAGAGAAGAGTTCCTTAAATGGGGTATGAGAAGAGGATGGAGAAAGAAAAGGGTAGGAACACCAACCAAAACTAAAGATTATGAAGAGCCTTGCAGAAACCAAAAACTCTGTAAAATAATCCTAAAAAAAATTTTAAGGGATTTCAATGGATACTCTGGATAGGTAGATAAGGCTTCCCCGATAAGACCCCTAAACACACACACTTTTAATTAATTAATTAAAGAATAAAGCCTGGCAGTGGTAGCATACACCTTTAATCTCAGTACTAGGGAGGCAGACTTGTCAGCCTGATGAGAGCTAGTTCTAGGACATTCAGGACTGTGCTTGTACAGACACACAAGTGTGTGTGAGCAAGCACAAACACACACACACACACACAAACCCAACAAACCCTCTGGGGGGGGGAGAAGAAGTAAATGATAACAAACAAGGTGATACTTAATTTAGGAAGGCCAACTGTTAAGAACACCAGCAGCTGTCAGGAATTGATCCTGATCCCCTTTATTTTGATCTAAGTATACATTCCCAAACTTCTACAGATTACCCCTATTTTACCATTTCAGATATGTCTGTTGTTTTTTTTATGGAGACAGGGTTCCACTGTGTCACCTAGGACAGCTTCAAACTTACAAATCTTCTGCCTCAACTTCTGAGTGCTGGGATTACAGATATGTGCCACTATGCCTGGCAGCACTTGGGTTTTAATATACAAACACAAAGATACTTTTGATTTCAATGATTAAAACATTTTACTGTTTGGTTAATTTTAATAAAAATCATATTTTACAGAAGAAAGCCCTGGAGAATGAACTAATGACATCGGACTGCAGTTAGGGCAATCAATCAAAACTACTAGGAACACATGGTCAAAAAAGCAATGTACAGGACTCCTGTCATATGAATTACTATAGTAGAGAAGTATCAAAGGACTCAAAAAGATCCTCTCTTGCTCTGCCAGGCATTCCTGATTAAAGATATAATGTAAAAACAAATAGGAACTTACAGCCAGGTGGTGGTGGCACACGAATTAATCCCAGCACTTGGGAGGCAAGGCAGGTGGATCTCCGAGTTCAAGGCCAGCCTGGTCTACAGAGTGCCAGGACAGCTAGGGTACACAGAGAAACCGCATCTCGAAAAACCACACATAAACAAGCAAACAAATAAAAAAAAGTGAGTAGTAAGGAAGATACTAACATCAACCCTGGCCTCTGCAGGTACACACACAGAAATTCTAGCATCTCATGCCCTCCAGTCACAATTATAAGCACACAAAAATGTGCTGCTGATAGTACTAGTCAAGAGAAGATTCCCAAATTCCAATGAACACCAAGGTGCATTTGCTTCAACAGGACTGTTACTGATCAAGGAAATACAAAAGAAAACAAAACAAAAAGGAAAACTTTCCTCTCCAGTCAACACTACAAACACACAAGTATAAAACACACTGCAAGACAAAGGGAAAGAAAAAATTCAAACACACTATTTTGTCCGTAGCCTTTTTGCTGTCAAGCAACCATATTCATGATGCAGCTGAAAAGGCTGGAGAGGTGGCTCAGTGTTAAGAGCAATGGCTGCTCTTCCAGAGGACGTGGGTTTGATTCTCACCACCCGCACGGCAGTTCACAGCTGTCTGTAGCTCCAATTCTAGGGGATTCAATGACCTGTTTTGGCCTCTGCAGGCAGCAGACCAACAAGTGGTGCACAGATACACATGCAGACAAAACACCCATACACATAAAATTAAAAGACAAAATGAAAAAGAAAAAGTACCTTAAACCAAAGCAATAATGGAAAGATGTACTCAAAAGATACACACGCACACACGCATGTATGTATATGCTAAAACTGACTAGAAAGAGACGTAAGGAATCAGGGTGGTGAGGCTGGTAAGGTCACTATCTCAGTGGTTAAGAGCACTGGTCAGCTCTTCTAGCAAACCTGAGTTTATCACATTTCCAGCACCCGCACAGAGGTTCAAACTGTCTGTTCAGTTCAGCCCCAGGGGATCTGACACCCTCTTCCGGCCTTTGAGGACACTAGGCACAAACCATGGTAAACACACTATAGATGCAGGCAAAACACCCATATACATTAAATAAATTTTTTTTAAAGATTTTATTTATTTATTATGCATACAACAGTCTGCCTCCATGTATGACTGCAGGCCAGACGAGGGCGCCAGATCTCATTACAGATGGTTGTGAGCCACCATGTGGTTGCTGGGAATTGAACTCAGGTCCTATGGAAGAACAATCAGTGCTCTTAACCTCTGAGCCATCTCTCCAGCCCCTTAAATAAAAATTTAAAGGGAAACAAAGTAGGTAGAAGAGAGAATGGACAACCCCACAGCATCCTCTAAGCCATTCTGAGGCTTGTTAGTTTCTTGTTAGTTTGTCTAGCCCAGCTAGACTCACACTCACTATATACAGAGGAAGGCCTTGAAACCCCTAACCTTCCTGCTCCACCTCCTAAACTCTGGAATTACAGGTATGTACCACCTCACTTAGCCAGTTTGATTTTTGTCTCTTTTTCTAGTCAATACTATTACTGAGTTTTTACTTGAATTTTGCTTCTGATTCTACTCACTATTTAGATTTTTTTTTTAAAAAAAGCTGCCTATGACTACCATAACTCAGGCCATCTGACTAGCCATTAGAATCTCCAACCTATTGATATTGCAACACAGTGCTGTGATCTACAAAGGTCACACTTAAAAACCAAACAACATGACCTCAGAATGTGATATATGTCAAAAGGTGGGCAGATCCCCGTGAGTTCCAGGCCAGCCAGATATATATAGAGAGTGATATCCTGCCTCAAAAACAACAAACAACCTTGTAACAAAACAACAGAAATAATCAACATTTTAGGCAAGTTTATCATCTTTTTGTGTTGGACACACTCATTTGTAGCTGCTATCCTGGGGAAGAGGCTTATTAGTTCTCAATAGGCCTCAGAGGCCAGGGCAAACAAATCTACGTTGCGATCCCAACTTACTCCCCACAACTCTACATTTCCATCTGCCTCCATCTTACTAACACCAAACCTTCCCACCCAGCCCCTCCTCCCTCCCCAAACCTGATCCTCCCTGTTACATTACCTCTTTTGGTCACCAGCATCACCACCCAGTCGACTCTGTCTCCCAAGTTTGCAGTCATCTTTAGCTCCACCTTAGTTTTTGGCTTCCACCCAGAGTTGGTTCCAGACCTTCTTGTTTGGCACCAGGAAGTGTGTCTTGTTTTTGTCTTTTGAGACAGGGTCTCATGCAGCCCAAGCAGGTCTGGAAATCACTACATAGCCAAAGATTATCTTGAAGTCCTGATCCTGTCTCCACATCCCAAGTGCTAGCTAGGGTCACAGGTCTGTGCCACCACAGCCACTGGCAACAGGGTATTTGGTGGGGGTGTGTGTGCTGAAAATGTTGCATACATACAGGGACAGTATGCAAACACACAGAAGTGAAAATTTGACAGCCTGGTACAAGAGACTAGCATATTCTACCCCTCAAAACTTTTTTTTTTTTTTTTTTTTAACTATTTGAATATCCTTCTTGCTATCTGGTCTCCACATCCGTGGGCTCTCCCGATAGATCAATAACCATGCCTAAACAAATGCAATCACAACACTCCCTTGCTCAAGTGTCACTGTCTTTATAAGTCTCAAGTCACCATCATGGCACTCGACTAAGTCTGTAGCCTTGTGTGGCTGACATTTCTTCCTCCTAGCTCCTAGCCAGTCACAAAAAACTTCTTGCCAGTCTTAAAAAAAAAAAAACCCTCTTCCAAGAATGAAACCCTTCCTCAAGTAATGCCCAATGCTGAAAAGTCAAGACATAGTAAATTAAGTACATTACTTAGAAATGAGATTAACCCCAGAGACCGTGGCAAAAAGAGAAAACGGAAAACCAGTGCTTCTGAAGATGAAGACGGTCAGGAGAGAAGGCTGTAGTGTATTTCACAAGTCTTGTGGAGTTCAGATGCTTAGAGCCATGGGCTAAAATTGAAGTAAAGGGATTCATTGACTCAAGAAAAAAATAGTGAATGTGTATGTGTGTTCCTTAAGGAAGGAAAGAGA